CAGGCGTCGAGGAGACCGCGAGCAGCCACCCCCGAGGAAGCTGCCGTCACGAGGCGAAGAGAAGCAGACACAAGAACAGACCGTCGAGCGTGGCCGACTCGCCAACGGCGGCGGCCCAGCCCATGAGCGGCGGGATGCCGCCGAACGACGGCGCCGATCCACGTGTTGAGGGCGGTGACGCGCTTCAGCGGCGTGTAGACGCCGGCGTACAGGACGATGTTGGCGGGCGCCGAGGAAGGCGACGGTGGGGTTGACGCCGAAGTAGAGGGCGCCGATGCCGCCGGCGGCGCCGAGGAAGGCGAAGAGCAGGGCAACGCGCGGGGCGATGATGTTGCGGACGAGCGGCCGGTTGCGGGTGCGCGACATCTTGGCGTCGGTGGCCGGCTCATAGAGCATGTTGAGCGCGTTGGCCGAGGCCGAGCAGAGCGTCGTGCCCGTGGTGAGGAAGAGGAGGGTCAGCGGCGAGAGCGAGGGCAGCTCGGTGACGGCGGGCGACAGGAACGACGGCACCGGAAACAGGGCGTAGGGGACCATGGCCGTCAAGACGACGAGCACCGTCAGCCTCGGCTTCGACAGCGAGAGGCAGGCGGAGAGGATACGGCGCAGCGAGCGGGCCGGCTGGCTGGCGGCCACCGTGGTGAGGGCCGAGGAGGCATCTTGGGCGGGGAGGACCGCGGAGGAGGAGCCCGAGTCAGCTTCTGCTTCGGCAGCAGCGGCGGCGGCTCGCCGAGCAGCCTGGCGACGTCGATGTGGTAGTTCAGCATTGACGGGGGGCTGTGTTGCGTCTAGGCGACTTGTCGAAGCCGAGACTTTTGCTGTTGCTGCTGTTGTTGACGACGAGTCATTGGTGACAGTGGCAGACGTTCGACTGCTCTGGCTCTGTGTGCGGGCCTTGACGGCCGAGGCGGCGGCGCGCTCGAGAGCATTGTTGGGGAGGAAGTAGCTGGCGCTGAGGCGACTAGAGGGAGTTGTCGACACGGCACGGCGTGCGAGGAGTGGCGCGTGGGAGGGTGCGCGCAGCACGGGGCGAAGCTGAGCCGTGCATCGTCGACAGATGGTGGAGGGATCGAGGAGGTTGATGCGAAGGAGGGTTCGGTTCGGCGCAGGCGGCCGCATGGTAGGCTGGGCGGGGGGCCGACGATCAGGCCGGCATCACCTGTAGAAGAAGTGTTTCCGTATCAATGCGCCATTCGGGAAGCGATTGATGGGCGGCGGATGGCCAAGGGGGGTTCGATGATAGATTGATAGGCGATGGGACGGTGATGGGTGATGGTGGTTCGTTCGACAGGCCTTGGACTTTTGCTGGTGTCCGAAGTAGACCGAGCCGTGGTCTGGCAGGCATGATCGATGGTGGTGGTGTAGCCAATGAGGGGGCCTCTGCTCTTCATCCACCGTCGACAGCTGGTGCCGATTCTCAGCTGGTAGGACCCCTCTCTTCTTCACTCTCCTTCTCTCCTTATCTCCTTGTCGAAACACCATGGCCGATACCATGGCCAGACATGACGACCTACCATCCTAACACCACCGATACTTCTCTTACCACACCATGTGGCCAGTGTGTAAGGTAGCAAAGGATGAGCGATGCTCAAGTCGACTCTCAGAGCTAGAGTCCGTAGTCTGGCAATAGGACAAGCGTCCCCATGAGCTACCACACTGCTTTGTCTGCTCTTCAACCTCGAGAGAACCATTGATATCCCGTTTCGCAGCATCCGCATTCCTGGAATGTCCATCGAGGCCTACCAGACGCTTTCGGAGACTACCATACAAAGTTGCTCTTTGTTACCATCAAGAAAGGAGCTTCAAAATTTCCGCCACACTGGCAACGCCCAGATCCTCCTTACACACTGCCTGCCTTTGTTGACAAGGGTGAACAAAGGCAGATTTCCATTCATCAAGATTCCCGCCCTTCAAACACGAATACAATGCTTCGCCACACGACGACTCCATGGGGCACCTCCGTGGAAGAAGCTTCCACCTGGTCATCTTTGTCCGCCTTGCCATCCATAACATGGCGCACCTGCTTCACCCCACGATGCCAATTCGCGTCCCCTTGTCATATGCTCTCTTCTTTTTACTACTGTCACCGCCTTGTTGGGTCCATTGGCCAAACCCCATATCTCTTCGCAACCCCGACTGATACCGCTCTCTCGTATGTGCCGCAATCTCGTGCTGTATCAATGCCCCCCTAGACCAGCTTTACCCTCGCCCATTTCCCTTGCGCCATGACCCAGCTCGTTGGAGGCTTGCCCCTCGGAGGACATGGCGTTCGTGAGCCAAACATCCCACAAGCGGCGCCAGAGAATCGTTACAACGCCCTGATCCTCCCCTCGGACGCACTGTACAAGCAAATCGAGGACGAGTTCAAGCTCCTTCTCGCTGATCCCCGAGTCGCCGTCGGTGACGTCCTCGACAAGTACTTCACACCTCATGAGGCAAAGCTCTTTTTACCGATAGCCGAGTCCACAAGCCTCGTCCAGATACAAGACGAGAATACGCAACGCTACAGAGACATCTTACGCACCAGGTTTAGGGGCCATCCTCTTTCGCTGGCCAGCAAATTCGCCATGCTCTATTTCGGCCTGCCCATTGAGCCGGCCATCTCGCACCTCTTCGACGCGCAGCGGCCTAGGCTCGATCTTCTTGATGACAATACAACTGAGGGCGGCATGGCTCGCCCGCCTCTGCACTTTCTCACCGCTCACGATCAGCGCAATTACGGCTATGACCACCGACGGGGGCGAGAGGCAGGGTACAGCACGCTACCCGTAACTGCATCGAGTCTGCGAGGCACCGATGCCGAGCCCGTTCTCGGCCTGCGAGGCGGCGCCATCGATGACGAGCTCCAAGATGATTACCCTGACAATCTACCAGTAGAAGAGGGCGACGAGAATTTATCAGACGACAACGTTGAAGAACCATCTCCGAAGAAGGACGTGCCCGAGACTGCACCAGAAGGTGATGTTGTCATGAAGGACGTTTCCGACCAGGAACAAAGAACATACCGGCCCCCCGCAACAGCATCCCTCCCCTCGCAGACTTGGCTCTACGGTTTCCAGGGACGTATCTACATTGACGTCATGAAAAGAAAGGAGGCAGAGAAGGGCCTCGAGGCGTTGCTCTCGATGCGTCCCGGGCACGATTGCGACGTTCTTCTCCAACGATACAACGCAACGACACACCAAAAGCAGGAGGAGACCTTCTTCCAGACCCACGCTGGTGTGATCAACTACATTGCCGACCACTTCTCCTCGGTGCAGAATGCGTGGTTTGTTCACCGTGCTGGCGAGAGTCCGCCCGAGACCTATATCCCCTCGACCAGCACCTTTGACACCCTCGTCGAGCTGAATCATGTCGCTGGGGGGCAGCCCCGTGTTGCCTATTTCCGCACGCCTTCGAGAACGTGGTTCAACGGCCCCGACGGCAACGCCAATTTGTACTGGGCCTTTGGTGCCAACCATTACATGCCCTTTCTGCAGAACGCGCAGGAGGTCCTCCTCGGCCGCCCGCCAGAGGGCCGCAGAGGTCCCCATGCTCTCCTGCGCTATGCCCACGGCGACGGCAGCCATATCAAGACGAACGAAGGCCAACCTGTCACCACGTCGTGGTACGGCGGGAACGAGACCAACGCGAATGTTTTCCATTGGATGGTCCCCCAAAACCCGGACACGCGGCACACTCTCCAGCTGCTGCGGCGTGATCTAGCACCCCGCTCCGCCGTCCTCCTGGCGCCGGGGAACGCCAATGCCAGGGGGACCTTCCAAATCGCTTGGCCGTACAGCAATCTCCGTCGTAAGCTCGACAGCTTCTGCCACGACGAGTACCCCAACACCCAAATTGAGTCATTCTTCGTGTGGTCCCACGACGAGTTTCTGACGGGCCATCGGTCCATGCCCATGGGGCAGTGGAACCCTCGCGAGAGCGACGTGGACAAGCTGGCGGATCATGAGCTGCACATGACCAGACTCATGCAGGCCTACGTCAAGGAGACGCACGGCAACGGCTGCGCGTTTGTCTTCCAGCCTCAGTATGAGCGCGACATTGCCGACGACACAACATGCCAGCTGCGCTTGAAAGGGTGGGAGGGGACCGCTCCCTTTCCGGAGCAAGTGGAGAGCGTCGACATGCTCTACGAGCAGCTCATTGTCGCTTCCACAAATGTGGCTGAAGGTCAGCCTGCGTCGCGAACCGGTGCGCTTACCATGGCCATGCTGAAGAACAATCTCGTCTGTCTCGCCGATGGCCCGGTGGATAGTCCTAACACGCGGACATTTGTCGTTTTGCCTACCACGAGCCACGACGAAATGCGTGCCATGCGTCGCCAGATGACGAGCCAAGTCATCACCGCAGAGCTGCTCTCAAATAATCATTCTGATTTCATCGAGCGTATGACGGCTTCCAACAGCTCTTCGCACCCCTGGGGCCCACGCTACGGCCTTGTCAACCAGTGGCGGGAGCGGATAGGCTTCGAGAAGCTGCCCAAGCCAGGCGATCCCGTCTTCGAAGAGCTGAAGAAGAAGCTGGGCCCCTCTTCCAAGAACGGACCCAAGGCTGGAGACAATGGCAAGCCAAAGGACAGACCTCTCACGGACGAGGAGATTTGGGGAAAGGACGAAGAACCATTTCTCAAGCACGAGATTGACCAGCGCGAGCTGTCGTGGGCCCGGCAACCGAGCATCTGGGACTCAGGCACGTACAACCCCTCGATCCCCACCAACGCGCCTCCCCGGGAAGCCATCTTGCGTACAGGCAAGGGCCGGATCCCTGTACTGTCCAAGGGGACGCTCACGCCGACAGAGGTGGCCCGGATGCAGCGAGACTTCCACGAGCTTCGGAACCTGAACATTCAGAGAATCGCCTTCTGTCCGTTCCCAAACTGTAAATTTAGCTACCGTGTTGACAAGATGGACAAGATCAGCAGACATCTGAGGCAGCACACGACGAACAACTGTCCGTGGTGTCCAGAAAAGCTATATGAGCACTGGGACAAGCCCCAGCGAGACCGCCACTTCAAGAACAAGCACGAAGCGGAACTACGTTCTGTCCTCAAGCAAGCGGCCAACAGGCCCGTCACGGACCCGTTCATCGAGAAGCAGCAGCAGCAGCAGGAGGCCAATGGTGCCATCGTCACCAGAACACTCATCCCGCAACCCTTCTCGTGGACGGCTAAGCCGAACTCCATCTTTGAGCAAGTTGTGAAGAGGCCTACCGACCTCAGGGTTGCTCGCCTGCCACCCAACAGGGCCAACCCCAAAGAGATGGAGTTTAGCTTCTGCGACCGCTGCGGGCGCGACCACAGTATGCTCAACGATGCAAAGGACCGTCGGCACCACGACCGGGTATGTGTGCCCCATGCTGAAGGTGCCGGTGCCTGCACCTTCTGCGAGACGTGCGGTTCTCATGTGTGGAAAACGGAGAACGACGCCCTGAACTGGGATCCCACGGCCAAGCTCCCCCACCGCTGTAGGGGGCTCGCCCACTCGGGCAAGCCATTCTGTAAATCCTGCGGACTCTCGCTCGGCCAGTACTCCGACGAGTACGTTGACAAGCACCGCAAGTTCTGTGGCGCATTCTTCAGCGTCATTGGCACCTTCTGCCCCTACTGTCAGCTGAAATTTGATATCCTGCCCGGGGCCGACAAGGTCGAGGACGTGATTGAGGCCAAAAAGGTACATATCAACACCTGCCGAAACGATCACGTGCATCCAAGTTTGCAGGTGCAACGAGGCCAGATGACGCCCTTTGATCTCTATGATGAGGACTATTGGCGCGAGTGGACGCGACCGTACGATGAGCAGTATGACGGACCCCGCGCCTTCAACGAGATGCTTCGGCTGCCCCACAGGGCGACGAAGGCCCTCCTGCCGCCCCTTGCTTGGTGGGAGAAACAGGGACCGCGGGACTCGGTCGTCGACCCGCCGCAGGATTGCGGCGTCTGCAGAGCGGCTCTTGTTGGGCTTGACGCGTCAAGCGTGCTGCAGCACTTTGAGGCCGACCACAATGATGATAAGCCCCTCGAAACGTGTCCGTTGTGCGATCTATCTTTCACGGCGCCGGTCGCTGAAGGCGAGACGCAAGTGTATCTCGCTTCACGCGCCCAGCAGCAGCCGCACATGGAGTGCCACGTTTTCGACCTGTGGAACGACATCCGGATGAACTCGAGCAGGCAGAAAACCACCCCCCCGACGGAGAATCCATTCAGGCAGGGCCCCCCTCTGTGGGACCCCAAAGAGTACGGGCTCGACAGCGGCTACAAAATTACAGCGTTCGCCGTGTGTGGTGCCATGGGAAGTTCATGTCGCCGGAGCAGTGGCGGCTACACAAGAAGCAGGTGCACGGCAGCGAGGAGTGGCAGCTCGAGACGCCGGGACAGATCGCGTCTGGCACGAGTGCGGCCAGGGCAGCAAAAGAGCTTAGGGCAGGGAAGAAAAAGAGTTCGGACGACAGCGGTGGTGACGGTGGCGGAGGTGGCAGCGGTGGTGACGGCGGCGGTGACGGTGACGGCAGCGGAAAGAAGGCGCCTCAGGAGAACACGCCTGGAGAAGAAACGACATTACCGAAAGAGCTCCCCCAAGGCGACTTCGCCGTTGTGGAAACAGACTACTGTTCACGATGCCTCCGCAAGATGCCCCGTAAGAATAATATTGGTCCGGGGAGGCTCTCGTGGGAGCAGCAGGTCATGGTACGTCTAACACAAAATACTTCACCTACCCTCTCCATCACACTTGACGATGGGTTACTGACAAGACATGCACAGGCTCACTGTGACCCGAAGCGCAGCTGCCGCGTCCCCTACCAGCGGGGCAGCGACGCCAACTCCGTTCCTAACATGTCGGGCTTCTTGTCTAAGGTGCAGATGACCAACCTGGGGGGAATCACCAAGCTGAGGAGGAACTTTGCGACAGGCCATCCCACATACGCGCGGACAATTTACCCTACTGATGGGAACTTTGCGCGCAGCACAACAACGTGGGAGTTTGATCCGAACCGGAACGAGAACAGCAATGCTTGGGGGATGCCGTTCCCGCCACCGCCACCTGGGGGGACCCAGGCCGGAGGAGGCGATGATGGAGGCGGTGGAGATGGTGGTGACGGCGGAGGCGGAGGTGATGATGGAGGGGATGGGGGCGGTGGAGGTGATGGTGATGGAAACGGCGGAGGCGGAGGTGATGATGGAGGGGATGGGGGCGGTGGAGGTGATGGTGATGGAAACGGCGGAGGCGGAGGTGATGGTAATGGTGATGGCGCAGGCGATGGTGATGGCGGTGGTGGTAGTGATGGTGACAAAGGCGGTGGTGACAAAGACGGTGGTGATGCTGGCGATGAAGGCGACACAGCCCCAAGCAGTCAAGCCGGAAAAAAGCGCGCCAACCTTACACCAAAAACACCAGCCTCCAGTAGGACAATGGGTAATGGCGGAACTAGCAGCGGTGGCGGTGTCAGCAGCAGCAAGCGAAAGCGAGGCGACGCGCAAACTGATCCATCCTATCGACCGAGCAAGGAGGAGCTCGCGATGGAGCAGCAGGAGGTGCAGAAGGAGGTGCAGGAAGAAGGAGAAAGGCAGAAGAAGGACTCAGCCCGGACGGCAAAGAGGATGAAGCACGTCTGATGAAGGCGAGATGAAGTATTCGACGGATATCAGGGGTTTGGTGATGCTTTTCTTTGATACCTAGATATTATTGCATGTTGTTCCTTTCCGTACCTTCTGGGGTTGTGGTTCACTTCTCAGGTGATGGTCAAGTGAGTTGGACTTACCCCTGACCAGCCGGTGGCAGCTGCCCCTCTAGATCAGCAACAGCTCAAGCCGGACAGGTGCGGCCAACAGCAAATGCCGGTGACGACACGGGTGCAGCACAGGTGCAGCGGCAGGTGCATGCCGCCAACAGGGAGGAGCAAGCGACGCACCTTCTGAGTCGCGGAACCGGCAGCGGCAACCATCGGCCGAAACGCATCTCCAATCGGGCAGGCGACACGGACAGGGACATGACAATACGTAACAAAGTCGCCGACCCGAGACACCAACGATGCCCGGTGACCATTTGGGTTTCTCCCCTTGCTCCTCTCGCTCCTCTCTCTCCTCTTCAGTCATACGAGGTGCAGGCAGCATCGGTGTACAAGAAGGTCGGCGACCTCCCGGCATCTGTCACGGTTTCATTGTCGTTGCTCTCCTCACCGATTGACCTGACCAGCTTTTGACTACGCTCGCCCCTGGCACCAAGTCAGGTACAAAGGTACCTGTACCGGGGAGGTAGTCGACCCTGCGCCGATCGCGGTCCACCTGATAAGAAAAAAAGGGTTCATTATCTCTTGCCTCGCCGTTCGTTCCAATTGAACTGGGCCCCATCAAACCCCGAGCCGGCATCCCTGTTACCTTGTCCACGCATCGTCACGAGGTGCCTCACAGACACCAACTAGGAACTGACTCTTACGTATAACCTCCCTTGCCCTCTCTCCTCCCGACAGCGCCTCGTTTGACTTGCTCCTCACAGCTTCAACAAGGAGACCTCCTGCACCGACGGCAACCCGCCAGTACCACCAGCTCCAATAAATCAAGAACAACGCCACCAACAAAGGCAACGACCAGCAATACGTCACACTCAACGCCCAATGCAGGCACCTCGACGCCTGACCTGCGAAATCTCGCAGCTGGCGACGACTCGACAATACTTTGCCTCGACCGTGCGCCCCTCCTCCCGACGTTGCCAATACCTTCACACTTCGCCCTCACCTCGCGCCCCACCAAAGTCGTCCTCGCCGTCGTCCAGACCACGAACGTCTTGGTGGAGGACGTCTCGCCGCGCCAGGCCAGCAACCGTCACCCTCATCGCCAGCGCCGGGCTGCTGTCAGCATTCGCTGGATTTTCTGAGCCGACGAGCACCACAAAAGACGAAGCGCCACCGCCCCCTGAGAGCAATGACAGTCGAGACCCCAAGCAACCTCGCTTCAGGTTGTCTGAGGTCAAGGAACATGGGCCCGACTCGGAGAGGCCGTGGGTCACCCACGAGGACAAGGTTTACGACATTACAGACTGGATCGGAGCACATCCTGGAGGCGACGTCATCCTGCGCGCCGCTGGAGGCAGCATTGACCCCTACTGGAACATCTTCACCGTCCACAAGGCCCCCTACGTTCGCGAGATTCTTGCTCAGTACATGATCGGACTCATCGACGTCGCCGATCTTGTGGATGGGCAGCCCCCGGCAGAGCTTATCGAGGACCCTTTCCGAGACGATCCCACCCGCGACCAGAGGCTGGTCATCATGACTTCGAAGCCGCGCAACG